TCTTCTTCTTCTTCTTCTTCTTCTTCTTCTTCTTCTTCTTCTTCTTCTTCTATTTCTTCTTCTTCTTCTTCTTCTTCTTCTTCTTCTTCTATTTCTTCTTCTTCTTCTTCTTCTTCTTCTTCTTCTTCTTCTTCTTCTTCTTCTTCTATTTCTTCTTCTTCTTCTTCTATTTCTTCTTCTTCTTCTTCTTCTTCTTCTTCTTCTTCTTCTTCTTCTTCTTCTTCTTCTTCTTCTTCTTCTTCTTCTTCTTTGTGTCTATATGTCTTTATTTTGCTTTTATATTTCTTGTTTGTGTCTTTACCTCCGTCTTTCCCTTTCTGTCGTTCTCAATTGCACCTTAACGTTCTCATGTTATCTCTTCCTCCCCCCCCCCCCCCCCTCCTCCCCCCCCCCCTCCCACACTTTAATCTAACTGCCACCCTAATGTTCTTCTTGCACTAGACGCACAAACTCGCTATCATTTATGAACCTAATCTTACCCCACATACCCGAACAGCCTGCCACTTCCCCGCACACCTGTGCTCAGGAAACGGCGACCACCTCTGACTTCGCATGTGTAAACAGGAACTTCTCGGGGGAGCTGTCACGGCCAAATCTCTGCTATATGTTGGGAGAGTGAGTTCAGCGAAGGATTGCTTGTCACATCACGAAAGCTCTAACGTTTGATATCTCTGCTATCTGTTAAAGGGGTTAGTCCAGTGAACGATTGCTTGTACATAATGAGAGCTGTCGAGGCTGATATATCATTAATCTGTTGGAGGAGTTAGTCCAGTGAACGATTGCTTATACATCACGACAGCTGTCACGACCGATATCTCTGCTATATGTTGGAGGAATGAGTCCAGTGAAAGATTGCTTGTACACCATGACAGCTGCCACGACCGATATCTCTGCTATATGTTGAAGGAATGAGTCCAATGAAAGATTGCTTGTACACCATGACAGCTGCCACGACCGATATCTCTGCTATCTGTTGAAGGAATGAGTCCAGTGAAGGATTGCTTGTCACCCTTTTAGAGCCGCCACAGTAGATGTCTCTGCTATCTGTTGCAGGCGTGAGTCCAGTGAAAGATTGTTTGTCACACCAAGGGGTATATTTTGGGTTTTGCTCATCATTTTTTTTTCTTCTCCCCCCCCCCCCCTCCATATATCACAAAAAAATTAAATGTAAACTAGACATCTGATTACATTATAATTATTATCATATAGAGACATTATCATTAACATATTGCATGCCAAATCTCAAAAAATTACACCTAGTGGTTACTAAGTTACTAAAAATTTTATTTGGGCGTATCTTTTGGAACGGACCATAGCTTGTCATGTATCAATTTACCGCCAAGTGGTAAATAACCAGGAGATCAAACATTTCCTCAAACAATGAGATTATTTAACGCGATCACTAACTCAGACAGCTGGCGTTTAACTCGTTCATATGTTTTTATCGAAACCGGCATGTAGTGAAATGTCAAACCGCGATTTTGTTGTCGATACTATTGGGTAGTCGGCGTCCCTGTCTTAGGCGTTGAGGAAAACGATTTGTAATTTCAAATCCCCAGTTCGATTCCAACTGTAGTTTAGTAGTTTTGCGTTGACTTCGCCGATAGTGAGTATAAAAAGATAATCGTTTAGTAAAATCTTCTACTAAAACCAAAACAGCCCCTAAAAATGCTAGGGTTTGTTTCTGCAAAGTCCTGAAAAGGATAGAAACAAACCTTTTTAAACTATTTGACTTGAATTATCAGCGACATGACGCTGTAGAGTCCCCCCCCCCCCCCTTTTCCAATCTTTGTCAGAGTCTCTCTGCAACATCTGATGTGTTTTCAATAGATCAGCGAGATATTGTCGAACAGAGATGTGGATGTTGCCGTCTTTCTCGTGCCATCCAAACATGATGAATGGGTGAATAGATGAATAACTTTATGAATTGGTGGATGAAGTGATGATGCCAGAATGGATGGACGGATAAGTCAACAGATGCAAGCGTTCTATTTCTTCTTCTTATTACTTCTTCTTCGTCTTCTTCTTCTTCTTCTTCTTCTTTTACTTCTTTTACTTCTTCTTCTCCTTCTTCTTCTTCTTCTTCTTCTTCTTCTTCTTCTTCTTCTTCTTCTTCTTCTTCTTCTTCTTCTTCTTCTTCTTCTTCTTCTTCTTCTTCTCTTCTTCTTCTTCTTCTTCTTCTTCTTCTTCTTCTTCTTCTTCTTCTTCTTCTTCTTCTTCTTCTTCTTCTTCTTCTTCTTCTTTATCTCCTTCTTCTTCTTCTCTTTCTTTTTTCTCATGCGAACACATTTGCTATACCTCACTTCTACTTCTCTTTCTTCTAGACACTAACAATTATCTCGTTAGCATTTAAATTAACGTTAAACAAACAGTATCATCAGTAGAATTTAATTACAAATTATTCTTATCTTGGCAGTTTTAAGGGATACAATTTTTTTTTTTCAATCACGAAAACTCACAACAGTGTCATTTGACCTGCTTATCTTTAGATACATGTATCTGCATAACTTTAGCAACATGTATCTGCATAACTTTAGCAACATGTATCTGCATAACTTTAGCAACATGTATCTACATAACTTTAGAAACATGTATCTACATAACTTTAGCAACATGTATCTGCATAACTTTAGCAACATGTATCTGCATAACTTTAGCAACATGTATCTGCATAACTTTAGCAGACAGGAGCGTAGTATCTGCACACAGCCTTATCGTTCTATTGATCTATCTGTCCCCTTGTGGGCTTTGTTGTGAGGGGGGGGGGGGAGGGGGGGGGGGGGGGGTGGACCCATTGTCCCCACCTTTGTCTTCTACAAGCATGTCTTAAAAGTCGTCTAATTAGGTATGTTTCCTTGGAAGTCAGAGTGCATCTGTCTGAGAGGCAGCGAATCTATAGTTTGCATATACATTCGTCATGTCTATAAAATGGACGTGCACGCAAAAACTTAAGTTATGGAAAAACACAAATGTTAATATAATTCCTTACGTCCTTCTTAGGACGTTATTTTTTGTTATTTGAAGCCCCACTCTGGCTTTTGCCAGGGGCCGCAATATAGGCAGGTCATCATTATGGCCAAATGTCTGAACGCGGTTTCTGGGACCTCTCCACGGTGATCCTCATCCGCATGGTGGCACTTTGTGTCATCGGGTGTTTATCGCTTGTGTGATGTCCTGGTGGGGTAAAAAGCCACGCCACAAATGTTAATATGTGGACGAACAAATAGAACTTACAGCGTTGAACGCGCAGAAGAAGATAGGGTACTTTT